CTCTGGCGAATTGGCTCGGCAGCTACGGCCAATACTAGGAAAATGGAACATTCATACAATCCTGAAGGACAGGACAACCCTCTTCACCAGCTTGCCTACACTCCATGAAAAAACCTATAAAATGGAATTTTTCGGAGTTGACAGCATAAACTGCGAAGACTGTGAACAAAAATACATCGGAGAGAGAGGAAGGACAATCAGCACAAGGGTCAAAGAGCAGCAGTGAGTATGCAGAAAAATGGATACGGAAAGATCGGCGATTACTGAACACATCGCCATTATCGGCCACACAATTGAGTGGAATGCAACGGAAAGACTGGCTTCATGTGAAGAAAACCCCAGGAAAAAGAATATTAGAGAGGCTGTGGAAATCCCCTTTTAAAGAAACCTGATGAACGGGAGATTGGAAAAGAGCAGAGTTGGCGATAATTTGGCGTCCTGCCTGGGCAGACTTGGAGATTCGGCGAGGACATAAAAAAGACGCTTGGATCCAGGACAAATGTTCAACAACGGGAACAGACCTCTTCAAGGAACGGGTCATGAGGATCAAAGGAAAGTCAAGAAAAGGCAACTGCAATGAAAAGGGTCAGACGTGGAATTGGGCAAGCAATTTACCCAGGGGATTAACCCGTGATACGTGGGATATTAAATTAAAGGCTATTGGTATAAGTGGGCTAGATAGAGTTCACCAGTGTTGGGTATTTTTCGTATCTGTGCCTGAAAAAGAGGGGACTGGTGACAAGCTTGACCAACACACATACAAATGAACATCATTTCAGTACCCAAGGATGAGATAGAAATGTCAAATAGAGAAACGAGAGTGTGCTTTCCACGATTCAAAGGATAAATGGGAAGTGGTGCATTCGCACACCTGCGTTTTGGACTTGAGCCGGACACAGGTCCCCAAAGAATAAGACCGAATGTGGGTTGGGATTATCGAGAGGATAATTGAGACACGGGTTTGAAGCCTAGGCAGAGGAAGATTACCAGGCACTGACATGTGCATCATCTGATCTAATATGGCGTAATCGAGAACGGGAATGGGGGCACATAGACAGCCAGATTTCAGACAGCCAAACAATGATTTTCATAGAAGTTGATTGACCTTGTCTTCGCAACTTGACCACATTGGTAGAAAGACTTAGAGTAACACACCTGGTCCGGAGTCCATAGTAGGCATGATCATTTTCAGAGTAGGACCGCGGACGTGGTACATTCCCAGACGTTTCGCCGGCATCATCAGTGAGTCTTGCCATTCTTAGCACCACACAACAACTCATCAAAA